ATATTTTTAATATAAGGAGGAGAAGCTCTTTTTCTAGTTTTTTAATATGTTTAGGTTATAGCTAGCTTATAGCTACGTCGCCCTTAGTAGGTGGTTATGTGGTCTCGTGACCTCTTTTAACTATATTTTTAGCGTTTTCTAGTATATCCGCCGCGCTAGCGTGCTAGGACTATTCTAGTCCTATCCCGCTACTAGGACTTAAGTTATTTACCTAAAAAATAAGTTTTTTATAGTTTTATCCTACGGTTAGGTGTAGCGTAGGTGCGGCCTAGACTCTCGTAGTGAAGATATATAGAACTTATTAATCTTTTTATATAGCTCTTACCTATTACTATAGTAATTCTTAAAACGTAGGCTAGGACGCCCTAGACGACCCTTAGGGATATTTTTAATAGATTATAACATATCTATATATAATATAGTAAACTCTTCTTCTAACTTAGCTAGCTTACTATCTAAGGCTATAAGCTTATTCTTACCTATAACTAGAAACCTCTAGGCTAACTTATCTATAATAGCTTTATTAATAATATAATTATACCATTATATTATATATTACCTTACTAGGCGCTTATAGTCTAGACACTAGGGTATCTTAGTAAACACACTAGAAATATCTACTAGTATTATAAAGTGGCCCTTATAGTTAGTAATATAAGTAGTGTTTATACCTATAAGGCTATCTAGTATTTTTACTATAAAAAAGTAACTATACCCTAGGATGATAATAAGGTTTAGATTAATATTAATTTTAGTATACGTCTTTATCTTAAGTAAGTTAACCTACGCCTCTTACGCTATCCCGTATTCTTTATATAAGTCTTCTAGGCAAGCCTTACTATAGAGGCTTAGGTAGTAATAGCTATAGGGGAGTAACTTTATGTATTATTTATCATATAGTAGCTAAGTACACACGGCTACACATAGTATTAGGCAAGCCCCCTAGTATTTATAGGCCTATTTATATTTCTCTATATATAGGACATAGCCCTTACTATAAGCTATAGTATATTTTAAATACTAGTATTATACCTTATATAGTATAATATATAGGCTATAGTTAGTACCGTTATAGTATATTTTATAATAGTGGTAGTTATATATTCTAAATAGTTATATATAAATCTTTTAGTAGTGCTAATAGGATAGTTCTACGGCTACGTCACTACTTTATTTATAGTAGCCACCGCATATACCTAGGTAGATATAGCCACATAAGAGCGGCATTATATAAGGTACTAGACATAGGTAGCCTGTGGTCATAGACTAAAAGCACACTACCTTTATAGTATAATTATATCTAGGTACTATCTTCTTAACTATAACTTAGTAGTAGATTATTTTAGGTTTCTATATAACATAGTAGGCTATAACGTCCTTAATATAACTACATGAAAGCTTAATATTACTTAGTAGTATAAGGCACCTACCACAGTCCTCTCTATAGGTTAGCTTCTAACAACTATAGCCACATAGCTTATATAACCGCTAGTAGGGCTACGGACATAAAAAGATATTATATATACTCTCTAAGTAACACCACGCTAAGCATATATAACCGCAGTTTAGGAGGCACTAGGTGCAGGCCTATAAGCATCCTCCTTCTAGGCTAAGCCAGGGAAAGTCATTAGGCTTAGACACTTCTATAAGGGTCGCCTAGTGTCAGGGGTAGCATAGCTTAAGGGTATTACCCACTAAGTCTAACCCCCGCAGAAGCCTAATAACGGCCTACCACATTAAGATATTTAAATAAGTCTTTAAGTTCCTAATAAGATATATACTATACTAGGATTAACTTAGAAGGACATTAATTCTATTTATTATCTTTAAGAAGCCTATATTTTAAGCCTTATTACTCCTAACTAGAGAGATAATCACGACCTTAGCTTCCTCACCCTAAAAGTTATCTACTATAGCTACATGTAGTAGCTTACTTAGCTTCTTCTTAGCTAGGGCGCCTTTTCTTTAGCTTAGAGTATTTTCTAGTAAATCCTTATTAGGGCTAAGCGCTATAGCGTTAAACCCGTCCTTATCTAGCGCGTCTTAATCCCTATTACTTAGCATAATTTTAAAGTCACTATATATTACGGTATAGAGCTTCTAGAGCTATCTAGTATAAGGGGTTAGCACTATAATATTAGTACTACTATATACACCCTACTAGATAATATAGTAGACAAGCACGTAGACTATATTTGCCTCTTACTTATTTAAGTAGGACTTATATTATATCTTATAATATACTCTATCCTCTAAGTAGTTATAGTTAAGCTAGAATAGATTTTTACGTATTCCTATAACGTCTAGAAGGCCACAGATACTTAGGTGGTCTTAGATATTAGGATATAGTGTCTCTTATATAAGTACTAATATAGAAGGGCGTATATATTACTATATATCTAACTAAGCTACTAGGATTTTAGGCCGCCTTAGAATCCTAACTAAAAGTCATTTAAACTAGCTATAGTTAAGCTAGTATAGCTTACCTTATTTACTCTCTAGTAATAAGCTAAAGTTATTAATTTATGGTTATAGCTACTTATAATCTTTAATCTAGATAATATACTCTACGGTTAGGAGTAGTGCTAAGAGTATATATAGCTCTATTACCTCACCTACCTCCTTATAAATAATAACTTTATATTATAGCCTCTATAAAGTAGATATTTACTTTACTAGTCCTATAGTTATAATACTAATAATATCTACTCCTTATAATACCCTATAGTTAACTTTATTATAAATATTTAATACTTTTTATTACTCTAAAGAGGTATAGTTAATTTCCTTATATAAATTATCTACTACCTACTTTTAGATCTTAGTAGTCTAAACTTCTATAAGATATCCTTATTCTAATAGTAAAAGAGAATAAATATCCTAAAATACTTTAAGGAGAACATTATTATAATTAACCTCTATCTTAATACTAATATTATTAACTAATTACTTCTTAAATAATAGCTAAATATTAAATAGATATTAACTAATAGTTTTAAATCTATTAGTATCTACTCCCTTAAATTAATTAAATATACATAGATAGTGTTAGATAAGATATTTCTAAATATTATCTTACTTTATCTACCATATAACTTTATATACCTTACTAAGTACCTTCTTAATACTCTCTATTTTTTTATCTAGTTCTTTATAATACTTAGTAAGACTATACCTCTCCTAACTACTCTTAGATTCTAACTATACTACTATCTAGAGATTATATCCCTCTAGAAGATTTAAATAACTTTATCCTCTAATATAGAGAATCTTTTTAATACCTTCCTATAGTATATACTTAAGAAACTAATTAAGTATATAGTTTATATAGTATCTAGCGTCACACTAGTTAGTAGGTATTACGCCTTTAGAGATTAATTATAACTTATATATATAATAACTATAGGCCTAAGAGCTGCTCTTACTTAATAGTTTAGTAGAACCTTTATTAATTTAACACCTAGGTAAGATTTACTAGTCCCTAGAGGCCCCTAAATTAGTATAAACTTATGGGTTAGTGCCGTAATTAGGGCTCAGCACTATCCGTGGTCTAAATCTGTCTTAGCCTCTATCTAGCTAATAAGACCTTCGCTATCTAAGATTAAATATAGATTAATAGATAAATTAATAGCATTAAGTAAACTATTCTTTAAAATAGGGTTTAGAGAAAAAGTAAAGCCCGGCTTACGTATATACTAAGGTGGTAGGATATTTATAGCTATGTCCTTAAGCCCCCGCTTAATCCTATTAAGAAGAATCTAGCTTTAGAATAGTAGTAAGCTAAGTTACTATATATTCTATAAGTTCTTAAGGATAGATATAAAAGTAATAGGTATTTACCCCAGGAACTTAATAAGGACGCCCTATACTCTAGAACTACTTAGACTAATAAGCGTTTTAATATTAGCTTAGTTATAACTAGTAAGTCTTAATGTTATAATTACGTAGTTACTATTCTTTATTAGGCTTCTATCTTTACTATTGTTAATACTTCTATTACTAATAATAAGAAATAGATACTACGCATGGCCTTTATAGTTCACTATAAATAACATAAGTATACCCTTAGTAAGTCATCGTGAGTCCTCCCACTATCGCCGTCTCTTAAGGGCAGACTTACCTTAAAGAGTTAGGGTTTAAGAAAATAAAATGTCTATCTCTAGCCTATAACGGCCACTAAACAAAATAAAACTAATAATAGCCTTAGGATAGTAGTTTACCCTAAGGTTACTAAAGCTAAGTTTAGGGCTATTAAGGTAGGTTTAGTCTATCTTAGAAACCTATAGGGTACTTACTAGAATATTCTTAAGCTCCCTAAACATATCCTACTAGAGGAGACGGAAGAGTATATTAATGTAACGCTAGGACTTATCTATAAGGAAATAAGGTTACTCTAGATTAGTAAATAAGAGGAACTTAGCTATATTACTAAAGATCTTAGCCCTTATAAGGAAAATACTTATATTTATAATATTAATCTTATTATTATTATAATAGTTACTAGGTATATATAGACTATAAGGATAGACTAGTAGTAGCACGTCTATAAAGTCGTTAGTGTCACTATTAGCTATACTAAGAAGACCTCTAGCTTAGCCCATAATAACTTAAATCTCACCTATATAGTAGGTTAGTAGTACTAAGGTATTAAGCAAGCCCTGTTAAGTAAGACTTCTTAATAGATCTTATAAAGAGTTAATAAGAGGTAGTAGGTCGTTATATAGTTAGGCGCGCTACTCCCACTTAAGGAGCTCTCACAGGGCAGTAAAAAGGGTAACGGCAACGGACTCTACATCCACATAACGCCTATCTAACATATTACATAATACCTTAAGCACTTCCTTATAGAAGATCTATAACGCTAAAATAACATAGTTCTTATTTAGGCCACTAAAGAAGTTATATAGGCCACTAATATAGGTATTAATAGAAAGGCAGTCTAAAATTAATATATATATTATTACCTATAGGAAGTAGCTTATAACATAAAAACCAGTTATACTATATCCTGCCTACGCCATATAGGTTATTATTACTTAAATATATCATCGCCTATAGAAAGCTTTATTATTAAGATCTCTAGCTAGGCTATACTTCTATTCTCTCTTACTACTATTAAGAATTTTAAGAGCACTTTACTATAAACACTCTAAATTATATATATCATTTTATAAAGGCTAGTATTTTATAATCCTCTTCTATAAATTATAATCTACCCTAGCCTATAACTACTTAATTATTTCCTCTATAGTAGAATTACGATTTCTACCTAGGCGTTTACCAGCAGCCACTAAGGAAAGGTTATATAAAAACCAACATAATAAACCATACCTATAGCTTTATATCTATTAGAAGAATTTATATAGCTTTTTAGCCTCGCTATAGCTACTCTCCCCTCCACATTACCTTCCACGCCTTCTACTCCTATTACCATTTATATTTTAAGCCTAAGATAATATATTATTAGTAAGGTAAATACTAACCTTATAATATAAGTTTAATAAGAGGAGACTAAACTTTTAACTTTTTCTAAAGTGCTATTACTAAAGTAATTCTATAGTATACTTACGTCTTAGTTTATAGGTAAAAACTTACTCCCCTACTAACTATTTCTACTTAGGAGCACTCTACTACTAGTATCTAAAATTAAAAGGATATAACCTAGACCTTATTATGTTATTAGGCGTAGGGAGTTAGGCTATATTCTATATATAATAGCATATCACTATAAAGAGTATAGTAGTAGGCCTCCTATAATAGCCTTTAGTGGCTAAAGTCTTCTTATACTTATCTAGCCACTTACCCTTTATCTCTTAATTCTATAATTATAATATAAGTAGTAAAGCTTAGCTATTTATAATACTTTATCTATAATTTATAAGCTAGTATACTAAATAATAAACTCTAATAAAAATTAAGGTATTTTACTAAATACTAGGACATTTTTCTATAATACTCCCCTCTATAGCTATAAAGCCCGTTAGTTATATATAATATTTCTAAAACATATATATACGTGTTTAGCTAGGGTTAGCGAAAGATAAGGCCTTTAGTAGTCTAGCTCTAAAAGCTAGTTACTAGCACACTCTTAAGCAGTTTCATCACTAAAACCATAGTCTACATTTCTCTACCTAGATACTATAAGTTCTTTATAAATTATAATATATAAGTATCTAAATATAATACTATTATTAAATTTATAACGTCAGAAGGCTATAGAATTAGAAGCCACCTAGTTGCCAGGTTCTTACTATAAATAGAGTCTATAATATTATAAATAATAATAAGTGCCTAACATAGTAGACACTATACTACATTTCCTAGTTATATATTATATTTTAGCTTATATAGTGATATAAGTAATAGAGTACATAACACTAATTAGGCTTAGCTAGTAGCCGCTATATATATTAATACTTCTATTTTAAGGGTAATAAGCAAAATACTACTAATATATAGGTTCATAGTATAGACATAAAGGATAATTAATGGCGTTTAGCACGGCTAAACTAGCTAGGTAGACTACACTTTAACACCCTCACCACCTAGTATAGACAGAAATATAGAGTATAGAGCATAGCACTTCTACTTACTAATAAAATTTAGCGACTATTATTAGAGATTAGCTAAACTAGACTTATAGGCAATATTAAGAGCTAAGGAAGAAGAGAACTTAGCATTTATTCCTTATTAAGATATTCTAACTATAACTATCTTAGTAATTATAGCACTTATACTTATATTATCTAACTAGGATTAAGGATATATTAAATATTTATCTATACTACCTTAAAACGCATATAATCATAACTCTTACTCTCTAGATAATTTATAATAGCTATAAGAGTTTTAAAATTATAATTATAGCGCCTATTTAGGTAGTAATAAAACTTCTACTAGTAAATAGGGAAGCTAAGGTATTAATTTAGTAATATAAGTTTACTAAAGAGATATATATATAAGTAGCATTAATAAGCATTAATAGCGGAGTTCTATACCTTCTTAGTAGCCTTATATCTTATACTTCCTATCTAAGTAAGCAGCTTCTTTAAGATAATACTATTAAGATTACGTCTTTATACTACCTTATATAGTATATTATAACTTAATAAGGCCTTTAAGTAAAAGCCACCTTTAAGGTAATAAACTAACCTAGTAGCTATTCTATATTTAGTCTTATAGAAAAAGCATTAGATAAAGCTATTACGGTAAATCTTACTATAGAGGTACTATTCTATATTAGCTAGAAAGCTAGTAGAGGTTAAATAGATACTTTACTTAATTAATATTACCCTAATATTAAAAATAGTAATTATAAGGGTTATAGTAGAAGTATTCCTTAACCTTATAGTTATAAAGGTCCTTTTTATTATAAAAACTTATATTATAATTATTATACTTATAATCTAGCTTATCTACCTTAGAGGATTTAGCCTAATAGTCTAGGTTAGTTATATATTAGTTAATAATATACTAACTACTAAAGTACTAATTATATATATTACACTTAAAGTCTAGAGGATAATAGCTAGTCATGTCTATATATTACTGCCGTGACTACTAGCTAGCTAGAAATACACGTAAACATATTCTACACGTAGATATACTAAGGCCGGCGCTAGTAATGCTTAACTACCTAAACTATAAAAGAAAAAGTTCTTTTATTACCACACTAGGGTATAAGGGTTATAGCTAAAGTAGATATAGGCAGGCAAATCATACCCTAGGTCTTAATATACTACTAGCTAAAGAATTAAGATATAGGGGGAACTAGTAAAGGGTAAGTTTCTTTAGAGCGCTTCTTATTAAAAAAGTTAGCTTAGACCTTAGACATATATATATATATTATATATATATATTAGCTTAATATATTAGCTTATGTTTGCTTACTATTAGGTAGATGCTTAAATAATATAGTGCTATATGTCTATATATTATTAGCTAGGTGCCAGCAGACGAGGCGGGAGTCTAGATTAGACGTAGCTAACTTTATATAGTGTACGGTGCTGCCGTTAGAACTATAGCCTGGCTATCTTATTTCTCAGTTGTGGTGTCGCTTCTTAAGTATATTTACTTACTATGTGATCTAATTTGAAATCAATTAGTTTCACTGACATTACTAAAGGAGAGAGCGACTGCTATAAATGCGAGGCATAAGTATTGCTAACGCTCCGATCGGGAAGCCACCTCTAAAAAAATATCTCCATACATCTATGCAAGCCGACAGCAAATGGTAGGTGCGCTCTCTCGCCACGATTGAATGGTTCAGGTGGTGCAGTGGCATGATGTCTCAACAGTAAACTTCTGATCACCGGGCAAAGAAATCGCCTTAACCCGGACATCATTGAAGCTACACAATGTCTGCGGATGTGGCTTATTATCGAGCAAAAGGCATTGAGGTCTTGGAAAGGGAGGGGTAATTGGAAAACCCCGCTTGAATTGTATAATATCTCGGGATAGCTTCACTTTTTGACCGCGGTGTTTTTTTTGGGAGCTCATAGAGCCACGGGTCCGTACAACCACACGGGTACCTTATGTAATCAGTTTCCAGCAACAAGATGTACCTTTGACCGCCTCTTCGCTGCTCAAGTGTATTTCACCTCTTCTTAAAGTTACAAGCAAGGGAAAAAAATGGCAATACCCCCTCTTAACATATTCAATTCTCAGGAGGAGGCTTATGCCTTCGTTTTTCATTGGGGAAGAGAAAGAGGGTGTAGATTAATAGTCCGACGATCTTCGAAGAATTATTTGCAGCGCTGCACACTCACAATCGCTTGCAATCGGTTTCGGCAAGGCTGCCAATACTCGTTCTTAATAAAGGAAGATAAATACGACCTATGGCATATAAAGCCTCGAGAAAATACTCAATTTCACCAACACAATTATATTATTATGAAAGAAATACCGGGTGATGAAGGAGAGACTTAGAACGAGTTGTTGAATAGATACATGCTCTTGGAGGAAGCCGATTACATAAGGTACCCGTGTGGTTGTACGGACCCGTGGCTCTATGAGCTCCCGTTTTTTTTTTCTATGTGACTAAGCACGCCTGCCCCAGCCTGAAAAATATCCCAGCTTAGCCTAGCCTAGCCTCGCCTGACCTACAAAGAGGTCTGCCTGCCTCAGACTCGCCTCGGCTCAAGAGGTTGCCGGCCTCAGCTGGACCCTAGGCTGAGGCTAGGCGGGGCTTTTGAATACACTGAGATTCCTCTCTGCCACCGAATCACCGTATGATCTTAATTTCCCTTATTCTCTGCTTCAGAGCACTGGATGACTGTCTCAACCGTCGAGTCAACATTGGCTTTCTCAGCGCAATCATCGCAAGCACCCTCCTTGACCTTGAAGGCGTCGCATTCGGCTGAGTCCTGGAAGTAGGCAGTCCATTGCTCCAGAGTAGGCTCCTCTTCCCCTTTCGTGCCTGACAATAAGGCGGCTGAGGCCTTTTTCAGACATATATCGTACTCGTCAGAATGCTTCGCCTTGCAAGCCTTGAGGAGAGTCGGCCTGAGCACCGCCATCTTTGCCTCGTCCTTGATCCTCTGGTTGTCGCCATCGGTGAAGCCTCCTTCGCCGAGATTTTTGTTAATGAAGTCGAGATAGCTGCCAATCCTTATAAAGATTCCAGCATCTGCGCAATAGACTTTCTTCTTATTGCCGACAGAAATCGACACGAGGCCGACCAATGTCCCAGTCTTGGAGTCGATCAGCGGACCACCGCTGTCACCTGAGCAAACAGTCTTTCCGGGTTTGCCAGCACAAATCAATATACTTACGTCGCCGACAGCATCCGGGTCTACACATTAACTAAATGGTTATTGCTTAAGTAGAGCTTCTACTCGCTTAGGAACTAAAAAAGCAGCCTGGCCTTATGTCCAAGTAATATTGCGTCCCCTAAGCTGCTGTTAGCGCTTGCTCTAGCTCGAATATACACCAACAAACCACCTATCTCTCTTTTCGAGATAGATAGTTCCCGGCGCTTAATTGCGGTTCTATGTAGTACTAGGTTTACTTACCAGCCAAGAGCAACTAATTCGTCAGGGACTGCGTCAGATGTTAGCAGTGGCGCATACTCAATATCATCGCTCTTCTCAATTAGAGTAGCTAGCTTAATAATTCCAATATCGCCCATCCTGTTCTTAGTATTAGCGACCTGGTAGTTGACCGGTTTATGGAGAGGCCGTTAAAGTGTTAAAATCTTCACCGTCACTCCCCCAGTCTTCTCGAGATCCTGTGAAGTCGAGGTATTAGTCTATATAGCAGGGAGACGTCTTAAGAGAAAGAAGAAGAGGATATAAAGAAGAAAAGGAAGAAAATAAAAGACTATACCGTTTTCCCTACTACTACAAACCCTATGTCAGTAGTGTTACGGAAGCAATGACTAGCAGTAAGGACAGTAGTACTATCTAGTAACATGCCTCCGCAGGCATAGGCCTTTTTGCTATCCTAGATGCTAACGACAAATTTAAAGCGATCTGTGGGCTCATCAGGTCCGATAACTCTTAGTTTCAGCATAGCTGATACTAGAGCAACAGGAAGCCCTACAGTCAGGGTAATAGCAACGGTGGCTTTCATTATGAGACTAAAATCTGTCTAAATATAGTGTGATAAAGATACGAAGTAGCAGGATTTCGAGGTCTCTAAGGATGGAGATAAAGTCAGTCAACGAGGCGGCATTCTCCTTAAATTTATAGATTTTAGGAAATAACTATAGGCGCCTTCTTAATCTATGTGGTACTCAACCTCGGATAGGGGCCGGGCTTGAACATGATGAGCAATTAAGGACCTGATCATGAGATTGAGTCGCCGGCAGTCGCATGACAGTGGCCCCTGTTTTTTGTTATACAACGACAGATAACCCCTATAACAGAGGTGCCACGCTAACCAGTGCGCTGGCAGCAGGTTCCTCCCACCTAAGATACTACAAAGAGCCTCACTTTCTGGATTTTTTCGAAAGAACAAGTCTCGGCTGGTTTAGCCGGGACTATAGGCTCTCGGAGTGTACAAAGCCGTTATCTCCACATACGACTTGTACTCCGAGTCCTAGGTAGTCCTATAATACTCACTCTCAGAAGCAGGCCCTAGGTACTTGATGTTGTGCAAAAGTCTCCATGACTGTAGACATGTATCAGGAATATATTGCTATAGAGAAGACATGACTGAAAATAAAAGAGAAAATTCTAGAAATTCAAATTGGACGCATAACCGTTCATGCGACAGAGCCAAACTGTGGACGGTGGAACTCCATACTTTCTAGAAAGCGCCCCAGAATGGATAAATGCTCACTCATGAATGTGATGCTATGCAGCTTCACGTCTTATGAACAGATTAACGGCATTGTCCATGGGGCCATAGACGTCGTACGACGCTCAGCGTGGCGCAGGGCAACACCACAAGAGCACTGACTCGCACGCAGACAGTCAGACATCAAAAGCGACAATTCGAGGCTCGCACTGGCTAAAAACCTTGTCTCGTCGTAAATACCTTTTCCCCAGCGGTTGTGTCCCTATAATCCCTATCAGGCCTGCCTAATTCAACTCTTCATTCTCGCGACGTCTTAATGTTTAATCATATTTCCCCGTTAAGTATGTAGCCGGCGGACCAGTTGGCGCCCGCCCGTCCTGCCTTTCATTGTCCTGTTGGTTGGCTACTAGTGACAGGGGAGCTTATAGTAGAGAGGCAGTACTAAAGTATAAATTGACTATAACTATAGTATCATGTTTAGTGTAACCCTTATTCCATGCAGCTGCGACGCCTCAGCGGACCGGGTCCGCATAGTTTGGCCAGGGCATGATGATGGGAAGGCCAAACCGCAGAACGTAGCATGTGCTTTTGATAATAGGTTGCAACTGTTGATAAAGCAGCTAATTACCTCAGTGAGCTAGCTTCGTGTCAAGTCACTTTTACTGATCTAAAACGACGGCAAATCGCCTTTGCGTGCTGTGGATTTGCTATGGCGGAAGATGGCTGGGGCGTCTCGGCATTGCCTGGCTTCCGAAGTTCCGGGCTAGGCCTCGTAGAAAGGCCCGCTGAATAACAGAACGTCCTCATTCGGTTGTGACCCGCTAAAATAATCCATGTAACGTGTGGCTCAGACAAAGACCACCACTAGCTCAGAACGAATTTGTGAAACGCGTAAAATTTGCCGATTTTTGCTGTTAACCGGGGTTCCCTTAGGCATCTGCCTCCATTAACGCGTTCAGTCTAATTCGGTCGTTATGGCACCTTAAGTGGCCACAGGTAAACAATGGCCCTGAACATATCAACGAGCACGCCACGTACCTCAGAGAAGCATGCAACCAATTGCAGGCGGAGACAGAGGTCGCCAGAACCAGGTGCCATGGAATATAGTACAGCCATACCTAGAATCAACCATCTTGCTCATCGGAAAGGTCCTGCGACAGCCTGCTCTGCGCGAGATCCTTCAGCAGGTCAAAGACGTGGCCAAATGCACACAGAGCATCTAAAACGATGTCACCATTATCAAGAACTCTGTTGGACTAAGCACTGCCCCTCACGACGCAACCACCCACAAGAACCAAACCACTGTCACGGCATACAAGGATCGCACAGTCACTGTTAAACTAAAGGACAATGGGATGATCCAGCGACACCGGACGCGCCCAGCGTCGTGGACCAAACAACATATCGAAACCGCAGTACGCACCAATTCGGTCATGACACCAATCAAGGTCGACGCAGCACACCGACTCAAGAGCGGCGACATACAGATTGTCGCCAACACGACAGCGGAGGCCAAGATGCTCAAGGAAAACCAAGGATGGATCAGAAACCTAGGAGAAAATGCAGAACCCATCGTGCCAACCTACGGAGTAATAGTTCACGGCATCCCAACCAACTCTCTCAACATCAAGGACCAAGAAACCACCATCCAGCAGATGCTAGCAGACAACCACACAGTCTTTCCAAGTGCCAATATCTCCTACATCGGATGGCTCACAAAAGAAGCCCATCTCAAGCGCGCATCGTTGATTGTGGTTGAATTTATAGAACCCGAGATGGCAAATGCCATCATTTACACCGGAATGGTATGGGATGGCCAAATTCACCAATGCCAACTTTATGACCGCGCCTACCGAGTGAAGCAATGCTTTCGCTGCTATAGCTACGGCCATATTAGCACTCAATGCAACGCATCCAGAACTTGTGGCTATTGTGCTGAGCAACATGAGTTAAAACACTGCCCGCGGAAGGGTGCGTAGGGATTCGCACGACGATGCGCAGTTTGCAAAGACGCTCACACTGCATGGAGCAATGCCTGCCTAGCAAGAAAGAAAGAACTACAGAGAGTGGAATAAGCCAAGGAATTCCGCGACATCTACTGGCATGTGCCACTGAAGGAGACATCGGCGCAATCCGGAATCACCAACACAAAGACACTCCCGGCAACGACACAAATGATACTAACGACATCAGAGGCACCGTTAGCAACAAGCACCGTGCCCCAGCCCCGGCACCGGCCCCAGCTCCTCCCCGTCTCATCACCAGGCGCTCGGCAAACGCCTCGATGCCGATAGTGGTGGAAGCGGACTCACCACCGGAAGTGCAGTCCCAGCAAGCACAAACGGCCACCACAAGCCAGGCAGCACCAGAAACAATCACAGCACCGACACCACTGAACCCAACAGTGGAAGACAGTTGGGCGACGCCAGAGCTTCCGGTCGAATTTACTGTGCAACCTACGATCGACCCACAGCTCACGACCACAGAAGAGCCTGCCGCAGCCACACCTATGGCGTATCCAGAGGAAGGAGTGCTCGGTTTCTCAACACAGGAGGCAGACAACTGGCTGCAACGAATTGGTCTCAACAACAACTGGTTAGACGAGGCTCAAGAGGATGATTCCTCCCCACTCACATCCGCGGTGACAGACACTCGCACGGCCCAAGGTCAAATCTCCAAGGCGTGCAATTGCCTGAACATCAGGAAATTTACAGCAACTAGCCAACAGAGAATGCGGAGTTGACGGTCTCTCGGTGTATGAAGATATGCGTCTACTGCGGAAAGGGTTTCGAAATTGCCGCAGAACTACGCAAGCACATGCGAAGGAGATACACCACGCGAAACATCTCGGTGACCATGGAGACTCGGGGTAGGTGGAGCACCAATATCCCGGTTTGGACTCGCAGGAGACACACCGAGTCCCCTCCACGTCTTCCCACAGCCCGGATCACCAGAAGCCAGTCGGTCACAAATAGTACCAGCGAGACACGACGCGCAACCACTTCATTAACACATCCTACCACCCTCTCGAAACTCACTTCCAGCTCATGTATCTGGACAACCCGGCAACGCGGGCATGCTTCTACATCAATAAACGAATCGACCCCAGCACCTGGCAGGTCTCATACATTTCGGCAGACATCATCTCCCTGACAATCCGCAGTCCCAACAATGACAAACCCATGCACATATGGAATGTGTACAACGAGGTAGGAACGGTTACGCTGTAACATTAGCGGATGCTCTCGGCAAACTGGATCAATATCGCGAGTTTGTCATTCTTGGCGACTTTGACTTACATCACCCGTTATGGTCAACGCGGCACCAATGAGGCGTTGCGAGGTCGCAAGCAGAGGAACTCCTAACTATTGTGGAAACCTTCCGGCTTCAGCTCCTCACAGTGCCGGGCACCATATTCAAAAGATGCTCCGCAACGCGCATCGTCAGAGAGTGGAGGAGACCTCAGCCAACCAATCCGGCCTGTGGAAGCTCGTCAAGTGGGCTAAGAATCGACACGCTCCCTCATCAGCCTGCACACCGTCTCTAGTTACGCCAGATGGTGGGCTGGCCGAAAGGCCAGAAGAAAAGGCTGAGGTGCTCCGCCAGTCATTCTTCCCACCTCCCTCACAGGCCGACTTGGCCGACATCGAAGGGTACCAATACCCTGCACCGATCGAATGCCCTGCCATCACTATATCAGAAATCGAGAAAACAGTTAAGTCTGCAGCTCCGAACAAGGCCCCAGGCGTCTATAAGATCACTAACTATGTCCTACATGAAACGCTTAACATTTTCATGCCTTGCCTTCACAAACTTTTTAATACTTATTTGGAACAGGGCTACTGCCCTGCTCACTTCAAAGCAACAGTCACAGTGGTCCTGCGGAAACCAGGCAAAGAGGACTACTCGCAGCCAAAATCATATCGTTCAATTGCTCTTCTCAACACATTGGGAAAAGTGCTGGACGGTGTGATTGCAAACCGACTGGCGTATTTAGCTGATACCTTCCAACTACTGCCATCCCCGTCTTGCAAGTACCTATGTGTCCACATGGACACTAGATTGCGATGGGACTATCACCGAGAAAAACTAGAGGCGGGGGCCACCGCGCGTCTGTCTGCTCTCTCGGCCTTGGCATCCTCTTCATGGGGCACGGGGCTAATGAACCTCCGACAAGTATACCGGGCCGTGATTGTGCCGCAGATGCTGTACGGGTGTTCAGCATGATTCATTCCCGGCTCTGGGCACACAAGTCGGGTGAGCTCGATGATCAGCGCTATTCGGACTGTGCACCGCCGCGCGGCGCAAATTATCACGGGCGCGTTCAGGACGACAGCCGGCAGCGCAGTGGATGTGGAAACCCACCTGCTGCCAGTGCTTCAACAGCTTGAGCAGACAGCGGTGGAAACAACAATGCGCGTTAGATCCACATCACTTTTCAGTGACATGACGGTGATTGAAGGAAGTCAAGGGAGCGCGCGTCAGCTTCGCGGCGCCGCGAGCCCTCTTGACTGATTTTCAACAATCCTGGAGGATAATTTTGGCATCCAACTCAATATATTTAAGAAGCGGCGGCCGTCCGTGGTGCCGCCTTGGTGGACACTTCCGATTGTTCGCACAGCGAAAACGGCTGCGGAAGCAATTAAAGAACATGACGCCATGGAATCAGGAGCGATCTGTATCTACACTGACGGTAGTGGCATTAACGGCCACATTGGTGCAGCAACGGTCGCTCCTGGCCTCCAGCTCGGCGGCATCAGCACGAAGCGGACCAGTATATGGGCACCTCCGACGTATCCACAGTATACGCGGCCGAGCTCCGTGGACTGGTTCTGGCTCTGCAGCTGGTTCTCGACGTGCACAAGGCAGGGGCCACTCCTGGCCGGTGTGCCATATTCACCGACAACCAGGCGGCATTTCAGGTCGTCCTAAACCCGAAGTGTCCATCTGGCCAGTATATCCTCATTGAGGCCGTACAGGTTTTAGATGAACTTCGGAACCAAAAATGGAACCTCCATTACCGTTGGATCCCCGATTACCGTTGGATCCCCGCACGTA